ATGCCTCCAAGACGGCCACGATAGCCGCAAGAGAGCACAAGATCGCCCCAAGATGGCCTCCAAGACGGCCAAGATGGCCCACGATTGCCTCCAAGATGCCTCCGAGACGGCAAAGGTGGCCCCAAGAGAGGCCAAGATAGCCCAACGATGGCCTTCAAGACGGCCAAGGTGGCCCCAAGAGAGCCCAATGTAGTCCCAAGATCCCAAGCTGGCCTTCAAGACGGTCCAAAGATGGCATCCAAAGCGGCCAAGGTTGCCCCAAGAGAGCCCAAGATGACCCAAGAAGCGCCCCAGAGGCCCCTAAGACGGCCCCAGAGGTCTCCAAGAGGTCCTCCAGGAAGGCATCCGCGGGGTCCTGGCCCAGGGGCCCAGCCCGCGAGGCCGCGGATACGGATACGGCAGGTTCGTGTCGTGACGACACCAGCGTTGGTTCCTGACACCGCGGGGATCGTTCAACCTTGAACGATCGGCCGTCTCCGAAACGTCCGATCGTTCAGCATCGACTGATTCCGGGTCGCTAACTTCGTTCAAATTTGAACGCCGGCGGCGGGGTCGCCGCTGGTCGAAATAACGCGAACCTGCCGTATGTTCTTCGCCCACTACCTGCTGCGGGGGATCCCAGGCTGGCGGCAACATTCTGGGCCAAAGCGTCGGGGCAGCCCTTCCGAAGGCGCTCCACGGGGGCGCCAAGCGCATAGCCGCTAGGCTGCCCCAGGCAGAGATCGGGTTGGCCTGCCACCGCTGAAGCAGTGAGAGTGCGCAGAATACTAGCTTGGACGTTCTCTTCAGACTGTGGGTGTACCATGCGGCAAGGAACAGACTCGGCCAGCCGCAACTCGGCCAGGCTGAACTCGGCCCGGCTGTGATCGGCCTGGGCCGAATTCAGCTTGGCCGAATGCAGCTGGGCCGAGTTCAGCCCGGCCGAGGTCAGCCAGCCGAATGCAGCATGGCCGAGTTCAGCTGGCAGAATTCAGCCTGGCCGAGGTTGTCCTGGCCGAGTTGAGCTGCTGCCCATGCTGGGTCACACATTGAATGCGTGCCGAGCCGTGCCTCGTTGAAGCGCTACTGGGGCTCGAACATTGACGCTGTGATATCCGAGCAACCCGAATCCAAAAAGAAAATGCTGACACGTGGAACAGACCCTGAATGAGTGGCTCTCCGAGTTCGCATATTCCACCAAGCTGACAAATGCACGCGAAGTCCACAACATCTCGAACTGGAACACACAGCACACGACGCGCGAATAACGGAAACACTGGTTGGTTTACGACACGACGAAACACGATACGGCACGGCGCGCAGGCCACATAATTACGGCTTGGTCACCGATGACACGACCTATCACGCCAATCGACGACGCTCTTTCCAGCCTTTGGTCGCCTTCTGAGAGCATGACAGGAAACCTACAGCATTTGATGTTTCGGAAGCCTGCGACTTACCAGACCTGACGCCATGCGAACCTGGAAATTCGTGCGAGCTGGCTTTAGACCTTACAGCGCCTCGAGCTCTTTCAAGACGACGGAAACACGACGAAACACGATACGGCACGGCGCGCAGGCCACATAATCCGCCGGACCCCTTGTGGGGCCACCAGGCTGTAGGCCCGTGATTCGCAGTTTCCTGTACCAGTCGTAGGTTGTAGTTTCCAGTGTTACAGTTCTGCTTCTTGCTGGTTACTGTAACTAGTTGACTTATTGCTGGTTACTGTAACTAGTTGATTGACCGCGCGAGGGGGGGGAGGCCCAAAGTGGCTTTTTAGCGTCCCCTGGGCGCGTTGTCTGAATTGCTGGGGGGGCTCGAAATCGACACCCCTCACGCAGATCCGCGGGGTCAGGGTCCAAAAACACAGGGGATTTGCCACATTTCTGAAATTCGGTGCCACCCCTCACGCAGATCCGCGGGGTCAGGGTCCAAAAACACAGGGGATTTGCCACATTTCTGAAATTCGGTGCCACCCCTCACGCAGATCCGCGGGGTCAGGGTCCAAAAACACAGGGGATTTGCCACATTTCTGAAATTCGGTGCCACCCCTCACGCAGATCCGCGGGGTCAGGGTCCAAAAACACAGGGGATTTGCCACATTTCTGAAATTCGGTGCCACCCTTCACGCACATCCATCGCAAGGCGTGGTAACCCAAACTGCGAGAACTCCCTCGGCCCTTTAATCGCAAGGTGTGGTAACCAAGCCCGTAAACCATACACGTCTTACCAATCGCCAGGTGTGGTAACCCCTCTTGTGATCAGTTGGTTTTGCTGATTGCGAATCGGCTTCGCATGAAGTTTCGATACTGCTTCACGTCAGCGCCAAGGCCTCATGACTTAGCTCTTCCATGGCCCATTCTCCGAGAGAGGGGGCCGGCGGCAGGGGGCGAAGCCCTTACGGATTACGGCTTGGTCACCGATGGCACGACCTATCACGCCAATCGACGACGCTCTTTCCAGCCTTTGGTCGCCTTCTGAGAGCATGACAGGAAACCTACAGCATTTGATGTTTCGGAAGCCTGCGACTTACCAGACCTGACGCCATGCGAACCTGGAAATTCGTGGGAGCGGGCTTTAGACCTTACAGCGCCTCGAGCTCTTTCAAGACGACGTAACCTCCCAGAGATGCAATATATGTGTTGACAATCGGATGGAAGCTGGTCCTGGATACCGTGTAAGATCTCTGCGCGAATGACTGCAACTTGCATGTCGCCCAGTTTACATGTTCACGCACTGTGCAAATATTGTCCCCCCTTTCAGGTCTTTCATATTGTGATCAGAACATCGGGTCAGTGTAAGAAGTATGAAGAGAGAACTCATGAAGCGAAGTTACGTCGTATATTCATACTTAATCTGCATATCTCGCCCCCCCCGCTGACCATCAACCACAGAAAATCCCAGCCTCTCGGCGGTCCTGATTGTCCTGGCCCTCCGGAAACCATCGTAACAACAAAGTCGACTGTCGCTCCCAGGGCGCCAGCCAATCAACATATGGTGGTTCCTGATCTGCCTGCTGCTGCACTGTACATCGTTCCTGCTACTCGTCCTCCTGCTCCTGTTGCTGCTGCCTCGTCTAGCTCCTCCTCCTCCTGCTCCCATTGCCTCTTCTTCATCATTTCATTCCTCGCTCATCCAACCTATCTCCCCCCTCAAGGCGTGGCCTCGCGGCAGTGCGGCATGGATCCACAGGTCACAGCCTCGATGTCGGGCGGTGGAGGAGGGGAACAAATATGGGGGTCCAAAGTGGCACCCTGGACGAGACAACAGGACAGAAGATATTTGTCACTGTTCGGCGATCGCCCGGGTTATCGGGTGCGGGGGGCGGTGTCAGCCGATAACCTAACCTTTTTGCTGGGGGCATCCTGAATGTGCACGCGCGCACCAATACTGCGTACTTCCTTCGGACCTGCGCAAACGACAAGGTCAGGTCGCCTGACCCTAAAAAAAGTCTCCAGGGAGTACAGGATCCAGAGGCATACACAGCAGCCAAGGGATCGCCGACCAACAGCCGAACGTCGGAGGCATACACCGCAGCCAAGGGATCGCCGACCAACATCCGAGCGTCGTGCGAAACGGACCGAAGGGGTCCGCACCCTTGAGGCGATCAAATATGGGCTCGCTCCCACCCTCCTCGTCCGTCAGTTCGGGTCCTTCAGCACAAGGCCAGACATCCACGGGCGACCGACAGACGCACGGAACGGAGCAACAGGCCCGGACACCCGACGTCACATGTTTGTTCACAACGTCGACCCCGAGAGGTCGCGACCCATTCCCTGGGACTGGCTTTTCGTCCTGAATCGTTTTGAACGGTCCTGGGGCCCGGCGAAGGCCCTTGGGGGCCGAAAATAGCAAAACACATTCCGTCGTGATTTGTTCACGACAGGCAAGGGTGTTTCTGTCCTGTCCATCAAGAACGAAACAACGAAGTCTCACATGTTCCGCTCAGCGTAGACGTCCTGGCGCCGACGCTGCAACCTGCGCGGCTCGCGGCAGGAATGGGACGGGGCGCACATCCCGCGCGAACGTGGACAAGCGCGGTCCACTACTCGCAGAGTAACTACTCGCAGATGGCCTGGATCCGCCGCGGTGAATCTACGATCATCGAGGAAGACATGCTATGTTTCGGGCGTTTGCGAGTGGGCACTTTGCGAGTAGCGGACCGCGCTCGGCGAGACAGGGCGACGTGTCGCGCTCGCCTCAGCGAGGGGGTCTACGGGGGGGAGGACGGACAAGACGGGCGGGGCGGGGCCCCCAGAAACGGGCGCGACCCTGGTGCGTGCCGCCGAGCCCGCCGCTCCGCGAGCACCGCGCAGCGCTGCGTCGACACAGAGCCCCGGAGACAGATGCCGTGCACGGCCCCAGCGCAGCGCCACAGCGGGAATCGCGGGCCGGCGTCCATCGACTAGCCCCGTCGAGGCCGTCAATCCACCAGCCTCGCGCTCCTCCATCCGTCGACCAGCCTCTCCTGACCTACGCTCCTCCATGCACAAGGCACCTTGTAGCCTCCTCGAGGCCAGCAACGTGGGCGTGGGCCGCGAGGAACGCGCGGGCCCGCTCCAGGCCGGCCCAAACGCGGTCTCGAGCTGAGCCTAGGACCCCTGATTTCGGGCACTGCGCCCCCCCATGCGCGTCGCGCGGTTATCTTTGCGCAGCCTCGCGGCGGGGGAAGAGCTTGAGCATGCCTGGGGGCCAGGTTTAAGAGGATCGGGGCGCAGGGCGCTCGGGAGGCGTGCCGTTCTCTCACTCTGCAATGCCTGCTTGGGATCAACTGGCCGACCTGGGCGACGCGCCGACACCTCCAAATCTGCGCCCAGGACCAGAAGATGAAGTTGTCGGGCTCCTGCGCGCGGCTCCACAGAAAGGCAGGGGACCTGGCCCAGGAACATGCTCAGGGAAGAGCGACTCTTCGCGACCCTGCGGATGCCCCGATGAACTGAGCTGTGGCTCCGCGCCGACCGCTCGATGCCCCGGCTGCGTCACGCCGCCGACTGCGCCGGCTCGGGCTCGGCAGGCATTCCGCCTCAAGCGTGCATGGGGGCAGGCAGGAGCAGAAACAGAAACAGCCATACGCAACACGCGCGTGTATGCAAGCAAGCAACGCCAAACGATTTAGCTGGCGGACAGGAGGCGCCAAACGCGCGACAAGACAGCGACGACGCGCCAAATGCGCGCCGGTAGGACGAGGGGAGGAGAAAGATGACGATGATGGACAATTGGATGCATTGATCTCAGCCAGGGCAGACACGGTCCAAATATCCGAGGCATTGAGATGGCTTGGCATGAGCTTGATGAGCTAGTCGCACCTACACCATGATCCGGCATCATATCGATTTCGCACACCCAGATGTCTGCCATGAAATGTCATTGGGTCTCGCATCAAAAGAGATGGGGCCAAGTCTGGTACCCGAGACGCAGGCCCCAGGCCGGGGCACCCTCAGGTGCTGGCGATCTGTGCTTTCCAGTGCGGACAAGGCCACGCACCAAGGAATGCGCGACAATGGTCGGTGGACGGTCTAGTGAGGGCACGCAAACAACTAAGAACAAAGTCGACAATCCCACGAGGCGACGTCCGCAATCATTGGCGGGCTTGTTTTCCACCACCACCACCACCACCACCACCACCACCACCATTATTAGGAGGGGGAGGGGGTCCTCCTCCTCCTCCACCTCCTCCTCCCCCTCCTCCTCCCCACCCTCCTCTTCCTCCTCCTCCTCCTCCTCCTCCTCCTCCTCCTCCTCCTCCTCCTCCATCCTCCTCCATCCTCCTCCTCCTCCACCTCCTTCCCCCCTCCAGACAACAATCTCACGAGGCGACGTCCGCAAGCATGTGACCAAGCTTCGCACACCGCGCGCCGCGGCGCCAGGTTACGCCTTCGCGACCCCGCGAAGGCCCTCTGGGAAAGGGCAGCTCTCTGGCCGAGGCCGCGACGCGAGATCAGCCTCGCACCCCCGCAGCTGCCCCAATTCCCTAAGCAGCTTGCCTGTAAGGATCCTGTGCAGTCTCTACGACCGGATGCGAGGTCCTCCGGATCCAGACCTGGTGACCGCTCGTCTCCCGCGCGGAATCCCCGTCTGGTAGCCTGCTGCGTCCTGTTGGTATCCCGTATGCCCTCCCTCTTAGCACTCTCTGGAACACCCTCCATGCAGTGTCTCACTATAACCCGCCACCGTGCCGCTGGGCACGGAGTCGGCGTGTCCTCAGGTCCTCGGCCGAATCCTCGAAGCCGCAATCATCACTCCTGAGGAGACTAGCCTTTCAGGGGCGTGGACCCCTCGCTCTCAAATCTCTCGGGGCTTCCCGCATGCCCCCAGGGGCTTCCCGCGTGCCCCCTGGGCTTTGCCAGTTGGTGGCGCGTGGATTGTTCGGGCCCAAGAGGGCCCCAAGACGGGCCAAGAGGGCCCCAAACGGCCTGCAAGACGGCCCAAGAAGGCCCCGAGGCGCCCAAAGAACGGCCCAAGACGCCCAAGATGGCCTCAAGATGGCCCAAGATGCCTCCAAGACGCCCCAAGAGGCCTCCAAGAGGCCTCCCAAGAGGGCCCCAAGAGGCAAAAGCCATGATTTTCCATAGGTGTTTGAAGGATTTGGGCGTTCTCGCCTTTTCGGCTTTCCGACGCTCCGAGACGGCCAAAGAGGCACCCAAAACCATCCCAAAACGACCCAAGAGGCCTCCAGGAGGGCCCAAGACGGCCTAAGAGCGCCCCAAACGACGGCCCAAGAGGCGCCCAAGATGGCCCGAGAGGGCCCCCAGACGGCCCCCAAAAGGGCCAACATGAGGGAACACGAACCGAAAGTCCGAGCCTTCCGCCCCAAGAGGCCGCCAGAGGCCGCCAAGAGGCTCCAAGTGGCGCCCAGGAGGCCCCAAGAGGCCCCCAAGAGACCCCAAGAGGATCCAAGGAGGCCCAAAGGATGCCCACCCCAAAGCCCCCCAACCCGCCCCAAAGAGGCCTCCGAACTCCGAACTGCCTCCAACCAAGAGGCCCCCAGGAGCCTCCCACGATATCCCAACGAACATCCAATAGGCTTCATACCCACAAACCAGGCACGGTGGCGGGATGGGCCGAAGGTCATTCGACCTGCTTGGCATAGCGACGGAAAGCGCGGGTTCTTTCTTAAGGGCACGAGGTCGCTGGCTAGTGTCTTGGAGCTCTGCTGGTGTGAAGGCTTTGGCACGACATACAGAAATCTAACAAAAAGCCCTACGAAAATCAATGAATATTGCATGTCCGGGGCTTCCTCGGAGTCCTTTTGGGGATCTTTGGGGCCGTCTCGGGGCTCTCCTGGGCCGTCCCTGGACCCTCTTGGGCCGTCTTGGCGGGCCTGGGCCATCTTGGAGCTCTCTGGGGGCGCTCTTGGGGACCTCCTGTGGCCTCCTGTAGCTTTCTTGGGGCTCTCTTGGGAACCTTGCGGGGCCCTCTGGGACCCGTCTCGGGCCGTCTTGGAGCTCTCTTCGGCCGTCTTGAAGCCCTTTTGGGCTGTCTCGGGGCGCTCTTTGGGGCCTCTCAGGCCGTCCTCGGGCG